CCGGCCCCGCGCGGGATCGCGGCCTCAGCCCCGGTTCACCGAGGCTCCCGCGAGCAGGGAGAGGCCTCGGCACAGCCGGGGCATCTCCCGGAAGGCCGTAGACAAAGTAGTTTTTTTTCAGCAGTGGCTGTAGCTCGGAGGGCCCCTCCCACGTGTTGAGAAGTCTCCTCTGGAGATCTTCAAAACCTGCCTGGATGTGACCCTGTACCCCGTGCTGGAGCAGGGGGGTTGGACTAGATGATCTATAGAGGTCACTTCCAACCTTAAGCATTCTGTGATTCTGTGTTTGTTAGATCCAGCATAGGTAGCAATGACTAAACTAGCTGAGTAGCAAGGATTTAAGGTTGAATAACAAAACAAGGAAACATAGAAACATACATTAGTCCCACACCTTATAAACTTACCATAAAGATGTATATCAAGTGCCATCCTTCTTTCTTAATGCAAGAAATACCTTGTTTTTCTGGTCCTTTCACTGGTTCTTTTGGCCACCAGACTTGTAACAGTTGGGCTGAACAGCCTCCTCCATATTTAACTGATTTTCTGTCACAAGCACTGAAAAGAAACACAAGATCTTATTACAAGATCTTTGTGAATGTGAACAAAATTTTTTTTTCTTCACATTTTTGTTTCAGTTATTTTAAAAGATCTACAGCTCAAAAAGTCCTATCAGCTTGCTTCAGCTTTTATGCTTCAAGTATTTTATCTTGTGCGCTTTTTTGTTTGTCTTTTTTTTCTTCCCATCTATTTTATCTTGTGGATTATAGAGCTAAAATAAATTTGCCCTTAAGCAACACTGTGTCACAACAAAACTGCTGTTTTGGCTGAAGTCCATTTGAATGAAGGTTTATTTAGCCTTCAGTGGTTGCCAATGGATACTTGAAGAATATGAGAAATCAGCAGTAAAGAAATCAGATATTGCCAGCAGTGTGCGCATAGACAGTACTGCCTACAGGTGAAGGGATTCCTGTTTGTCCCAGCAAATGGCAAACACCACAGAAATACCTGTTTGCTCCAGTTGTTCTGGTCACTCATGTCCAGGGCTTGGAGCTTTTTTGCTCCAAGCAATCTCCTCTACTCCGTTCATGCTGCAGCCAGCCCCTGTGCGTTGCCTGGCAGTCTGCCCATAAAAGATTAACAGTAACGTGTTAATGCATCCCCTTGTTTATCTGCTCCATTCAGTCCATCTGGGCCCTTCTGGGGGTAAGGAGCTAATTTTGAACTGCTGATTGAGCCCCTGGGGAGTTTCCTTTTGGGGAAGGTGCCGAGCAGGCATGAAGGTGCCTGCTGAAGCAATACCATCTAGTGGCAGCCAGAGAAGAGAAATCCCCACAACAGGAGCACTGCTGAAAAGACGAACACTGAAAAGAGAATACCCCAAAATAAAGCCATCAGCATGTGCATATATATATATATTTGTTAAGGGCGTATATGAAGTTTGTATATATATATACACACACACACATATATATATACATATATAGATTTGTTTCCGTGGTAATGTATCAGAAAAGGAAGCTATAAAACAGCTCAGAAAAGAAGCTAGAGCTGGGAAAGGACCATGGTTACAGGTGCCAGGAATCAACTCAGATTACAAGGCCTGATTTTTCAGAACAGACAAGTGTCTGTTCTGAAAAATGTTCAGACAGTGATCTGTTCAGACAGTGATCTGACTTTAAAAATGAGATTTCCCAGCAACAAATACATAGTGTTTTGCACCCTCAGCCTTGAAACTGTTAACCGCTGGCTTAGAATTAGAATTTGTAAATGTTTTTATATGGTTAGGGCTGAACCCCACAGGAATGGTGCAGCTAAGAGACCAGCTATAAGATAGGGCCTTTATTTAAAGTCATGATTTGACCAGGTAAATAAGCACTGTCCATAAAGCTTGATATGTGGATCACCATATAAAGGACAGAATTTGCACTGACTCCCATGTTTCAGCAAAAAGTTCCAGAAAGAGAGATACCAGCATCTCCTAGACACCTCAGAATTTATTATTTCCATTTCTGAAAACAGTGGAAATATCTGACCCCAGAGGAAGGGAGAGAGACCCTTCACATGAGCTGTTGTTGTGCAATCGTTGCTCAACATTCCCCTTGGTCCTGGGGCATAGATTAACTTGGGTAAACCACAAGATTCACAAGCTGAGCAGAAAAAGGGTTGTTTCTAAAGACAGAAAAATAGACAGATACAAACATATACATGCACATATATTATAAACTAGAGATAAGAAAGACAGTACTTGGGAGAAAATAACGCTGTATCATGACAATTAACGATAGTAGCATGTGAATGCTTTCTGTTGGAGAGTTTAAATGTTTGTCCTTTCTCTGTGGAAGTAGTGCTACCAAAAGAGGATTTTCAGTGAGTTGCACAATATCAATTGCATGAAAATTGCTTTCTCCTCTCCCTGCTCCTGAGAATCTCCATTTTATTTTCATGGAAGCTTAGCAGATGAATCCGGTTCATCTCGTGTTTTAAAAAGCATTGCAAAGATGCAATGCTCCAAACTCTACCTGGGCCAACCCTACCTACCACAAAAATTATGATATTTTGTAAAATTACTTTTTTTCCCCCCTCATCCTGTTACATGCTAGGGCATTCATCAGTATAACAGTGATATTGTTTGCATTTACCAATAAAACAAATGGTAGCATTTTCTAGCATTACAAGATGACAGCAGCTTAGGATGCAAGCCAGACCTGTTCATATTAATAAATAATAAATATAAATAAAAAATAAATAAACTTTAGCTGAGACTGTGGTTTCAATTCTGTACTTTGCATGCTGCAGCTTAATTACTTAATAAAAATCTCTAAGGCCAGCTACATTGACAGGAGTTATTTGCTCTTATCCAGTTTACTGCAAAAATATTTGAATCCAGCCAGAGCCTCAGTTCACCTTTCAGATGAATGAATGCTGCTCAAAGGAGGCCACGATAGCCTGTGTTTAACCTGCTGAGTAACGTAGCTCATAGTTTCTCCACAAGTAAGGACAGACAGCTGCAAGCCCAGCTTCTCTTTCCTCCCAGCTTTCCTGCTAGGCAAAAGGAGGAGCAAGTCACCAGGCAGACACTGCAGAGTGAATCAACATCTGTCTTGTTGTTGCTCCCTTCCCAGGGCTCTGAGGCTAAATGCTGTTTTCCCAAAAGCACAGACCACCACCTTGTTCCTGGGAAAAGGCAAACATAGCAGGTGTCACTCAGCAGTAGCAACTGTATAGCTGTAGCCAAATTTCTATGGGAATGCTTGCCTCTACGCTCTCAATGATTTATAATGTTCCCTAATTCCAGATGATGACAGATTTATCACAGTGTGGCATGGAGGACCACATATACATCATCTTTTGTTTTTAATGGCAGGAAAGATCTGGAGTATGCAAAACCTGGGAAATGAAAGGTATTTTAAGGCAGGATTCAAAAAGCTCAGTAAAGGTTTTGGAGAGGGCATTTGCAGAGCTAGATCTAGAGTCTTCCCTAGACCACGTGCCTACCCTAAGAACCTGCCAGCCCAGCTCAGGTCGCTTCGGAAGCTTATGGCCTACCAGTGCTTCAGCAGTGCTTCAAGGAGCCTTCCCGGAGTGCCCAGCGTCATGGACCCTGTGCTGTTGAGCCTGGAAGACCCTACGAGAGAAAGGAAGATGGGAGAGAGTCATTGACTTCCCTGGGCACTGTGTTCAAAAATGCTTTTTTCAGGAGCATTCAGAAAGTCAGTCATAGCCATTAACTCTCACTTGAGAAAATAACCGATGCCTTCAGAGTTGAGCACTGAAATCTCACAGAGATGATCTGATTTTCTTCAAAGATTAGCAACGAACAGACAAAAAACTCTAATCAGCTAATCTGAGGTGCTGAGGGGCTCCTCAGTAGCCCATATTAGCAGCTCACGAGCAGGCAGTGGGGCCTCATCAACTGACCCTTGGGCTGGATTGGGTGCAGACACAGGGAGATGTGAAAGCGAAAAATACCTCACCTGTTGAATAATCCAGTATTTATCAATATTTCCTTTCAGTAGGTCATCTTCTACTTTCAAGCAAAGACATCATCTCCAGCCCTCTCAATACCAGCATCCATGCTGCCTCTGCGGCTGGTCTGCCTGTAGGGACTTGTGTTTTCTGACAAGTTGACAGAGAACAGGGAGTGTTGAAAGACCTCGAGCTGTGGAAGCCTGGGCAAGATTTTCTGTTTTCCACTATTGTATTTTTTTCCACTACCTCAGGTCTCCTGTTTCTGCCCTGTGACCTCCCTCACACAAACATGCACTCCTATTAGCCATGAGAAACCAAGAAAACACCTCCAGGACACCAAAAGAACACTTAACTGTCTCTTTAGCAGTAAAAGTAGCCTCTGAGTAGTTGTCCATTTGGTGCTATGTGAAACATCTGTGCTCTGGAATTCCCTTGTTGTAAGGATTAGAAAAAATAAAATTAGGAAATCTATTAGAAAAAAATGCAGAACATTTCCAAGAAGAGCCCCTACATGTCAGTTGTGTTTTGAGGCTGCAAAGGATGCTGTGGATGGCACGTGTCTGAGTACACTGTGTACAGAACATGGAAATCTGAGCATTAGCTCAACAGTAGCCCAAGGCTAGATGACGGATGCTTCTGTTTCACTGATTTCTGCTAAGGATAGAGCAATAACTTTCTAAATAAACAATATTCCCATGTAATTGAATCTTATGCCTCTTCATGCAGACACTGCTCTTTGCCTTGCTCGTTACTGCTTCTGCTGAGGTTAGTGTGGATTTCATCTTCGATGGGCATTTCATGAAATCGTGCATTAAGGCATAGTAACCTGCTTTTGCAGAGGAAGAAAGACCTCACCTGGCCAATTTTCTTTAGTCTAGAAGGCCTTATTCAAAGCTATTCAGATAAATAGAAGAATGGGTACAAGTATGATGCAACTTTTAACAATAGACTTTGTTAAGGATTAGGGTGTTCCTTCTGCTGCTATGGAAAAAACTATGATCTTTCCCATGGGAGCACTAACTAGCAAACACACTGCTGCACTTCAAGCAAAGTGTTCCAGCCCTCAGAACTACATCTGATGGCGGCCCAAGAGAAAAGCGCTTATTGTCTCAAAA